TAGCCAGATTCGCTTAACAACTGCAGTGATTGGTTTAACAATTGTGACAATAAAAGTCATAAAATGGGATGCAACTTACTTAACTGCCTTGCTTAGCAATGGAAATTTTGGACTCAATTGTAGTCATAAGTTGAGGACCACCTATACCTTAAACAGGTTGACGTAATGCATTGAAAGTCTGGGAACAATTAGTCCTGTGGGATTGAAATTTGTTGAAGATGTGCCTATTTTAGCACCATCCTAATGATGTGGCCAGCCATAATCCTGTGATTGTCATTTCCAATGCTCCATGCCAACTTCCTATGAGGGCAGTCAATGAGAAAGCCAGCAGGAAGTCAGAAGTTGCTCCTGTTCCCACTGCTTTTTTGTCCACCCATGATCATTCTGCTTCTCTGTTTTGGGAAGGAGATATCTCTGAAATGATGACCTAATGGATCATTGGTTGTCTAAACATATATTTAAAGGGAACTCACAGGAGAAAAGCAGAGTACTACATGAAGGTTTTTCCTTGACCGGGATATAAAATATTCATAAAGATTATCAAAAGTTGGAGGAACTCGTGCCAGCTCTTTTTTCATTACAGATATAAGTCCTTGTGTTATTTCATCCAGTTCATCTCGAGGAAATAAATTGGAGATCTTATCAGGAAAATCAAAAATTAGAAGAAAAAGACATATATAAATATTATTAAAATACCACAGTTTTTAATTTATAGATTCCAAGACTCTCCTAATTCAGGAGACATCTGCTTCAGTTTATAATTCAGAGGTAACTGAGGTTCACTAATGTATTTATAAAAATATATGAAAAAATAATGTAATATAATATATCAAATAATATATCAAGAAATAATGAAGCATAGGTATTCATATACACAGTATTCAAAATGTTGCACATTGTCTTTTATGCTTGGGATTTTATTCTTTTCAATGCTTACAACTAGTTCAAAATATTGAACATTCTAGAAATATTAACTTTATTTAGATGATAAATGAATAACAACAAGAAGTTATAACAAATATACTCCACTGGAAAAAATGGATACTGGCTAGCTAAAGATTCTAATGCATTTATTTCTTTCAAATTTACTAGGTTTCATTCTCCAGTGCACTGCTCGGAGAGTCCAATGCTGGGTTAACACAGCCTATCTGCCCTTGGACTGAGAGATGTTTTTAGTTGACCACGCCTCCCTTTGCCTCTGCATGCTCAGTTCGAAAACGAAGGAAACCGTCCTGTAATCAGTTACAGTCAATACAGTCACATCGTTCAATATAATAAACACCCGGGTGGGTTTGGACTCTCCTCGCAGTGCCCCGAGAACGACCGTTCAGGTAAGCCAACGTTGGCTGCGCGCTTGGTCTTTCTCCAGTGCACTGCTCAGAGAGTCCAATGCTGGGACATGCCCAAGCTATTGAGTCCCAGGGTGGGGAAGCGCCGTAGCCTCTGGCCTTTCAGCCACTCTTTGTAATACTCTTCTGCCAAAGAGGCTTCGGCTGAGGCAAAGGTGTCAATCTTATAGTTTTTGATAAAGGCCGTGGGGGAAGCCCATGTGGCCGCTCTACAAATGTCTAGAATAGACGCCTGGGTTGCCCAGGCCGCAGAAGCTGCTGCGCTCCTAGTGGAGTGTGCGGTGACCCGTCCCCCCCACTGGGGTTGGTTAGGGTGCCTGG